ATTGTAGCGTATGCAACCAAATAAATTTTCCAACGGGTCTTGCTGGAGTCTTCTTGTAGACAGACTTTTGATGGATTTATATTTGGTACTAAGGGTTCTCCAAATCGTTTCTATCCCATTGAGGGTCCAGATCCACCCATTTTTTGATGGTGGATTACCCCTGCATCCCAAAAATTCAGAGGTTTTAAAAAAATATTTCATTTTATTGAACATTTGCAAATGTTCTGTGGTTTTTTTTATATTTGTGGAAAATTTTTTTCCTCTTCTTAAATCTGATGTCGACGCGTTTACTCCATCAAACAGTTCATCCATGTCTTTAATTAAATTACCCGTTGCCACTGCTCCAGTCGGCATGTCTCCTGAAAATTCACAATAAACAAATTAAATCAATATAAGTACAATATAATATGACAATATAATTATTAGATAGTTTCACCATTTATAAAAGAGACAACCCCACATTTTCATACTGTTGAAACGAATTTGTAAGACTTGTTGTTAAATGTGCATAAGTATCATGCATAATAATTATGATGTGTGTGTATAAATGAGTTGGACCATGACTATTAAAGATGTCTCTTACCTTTAGCTATTTTGGAAAATATTCCTGCTGCAACTGAGTGGCTTAAAACTTGTGCTGCAAGTTTTACCCTCATTTTTTGCTTGGTATTGGGGTCAACGTGTTCTTTAGTTAAGAGTGGTGCATAAACAAAATTGGGATTATTATTGTCCAGTTCATAGAATTGTCTGATGTGGCTCCATTTAGCGATTCCTGTAAAGTAATTATTAAAAGTAAAATTATCTATACTAATATTATAAAGCTGAAGAGTCTGTTTGTTTGTTTGTTTGAACGCGCTAATCTCAGGAACTACTGGTCCGATTTGAAAAGTTCTTTCAGTGTTAGATAGCCCATTTATCGAGGAAGGCTATAGGCTATATATCATCACGCTAAGACCAATAGGAGTGGAGCACCAATAAAGAATGTTTCAAAAACGGAGAAAATTTATTACTATTGAAAGACGCAGACGAAGTTGCGCAGGTCAGCTAGTTAAGTATAAACTACATACATATTATTAAACACTTTTTTTAAACTAAATAACAATGACTTACCAATTCCTTGTTTGTTGTCTGATGTTATATTGGTCATAAACTTTACATCATATTTCATGAACAGATTTCTGAAGCACTTCAGCAAGTGTGGTGTGTCAAATAGCGTGACTACTTTGTGATTGCTCACTTCTATATAGGGATTCTCTACAGAAGCTCCTAATAGACACAGAGCTTTCTTGTTGACTCCATCCAAGTCACAAACTGAAGCGCATATATTAAGGCCAGCATTAAAGCAACAATTTAAAACCTGAAATTTTTTTAAGGCAGATTAGTAACTTAGCTTATTTAACATAAGCATGATCATCTTTCAAAATGAAGAAGAAATGCATACCTCCTTAATCAAAACAGATAGTCTGTCAGCTGTGACAAATCCACTTGATAGGTAATAAGCCACTGGCTGTTTAATTGGCTTCCTAACTCCAACCACCATAAATACAAGCGCATATGAAGCTGCCTGTGGAGATCTACCTTGTGTGGCATGGTCTTGAAAACCCTCAATTTGATCAGACTTAGAGTTGTACCATAAATTTTTTCTTAATGACATTTCATCCCACAACAATATGTACTCTCGTTCAGATGGCCCAAAGTGTTTTGTAATCTTTTTCAACATTGTAAGTGTTGTTTTGTGTATCCCCACATTCATCCTAAATCTGCTTAAGAGGGATTTTAATGTGCTGGGTGCTGGTAAACAAATCATTCTCCTCAATAACTTGTAGCATGTTGGTGACCTTTTATAGAGCCTCAATGCTATTATTTTAGCTTCCATGTTCCACCTGCGTCCAGGTTTCTTCCTCTTATAATTCTGCAGTTCTCCTTGCAGTAACAGGGCAAATGATGAACTCATTTTTTTATTGAGGATTTTTTTTACTGTTTCATTGTTGGAGATTTCATTTAAAAATGCTTCATTTTTTAAATATTTTACAGTTTTTTGTAATCTATATACTTTGTTCATACTATTTTTCAGTTTCCTTATCAACATTTTGTTTTTCTTATCTCCTTCTTGTTTTGAAGACTCGCACACAATCATTCCTGAACAACTGGTTGGAGTGATAATGTTTGCATTATGTTCTCTTAAAGGATAAATTCTGGATGGACCGGCAACAGGTTCAAATATGGCAGGTTGATCTGGCAGATTAGAAATTGTTGTGTCCTGAAAATGAAAGGTTAACATATTTATTTTAAATAAATTAATTTAAATCCTTAAATTAATATAAGTCATAGTTGAGGTAAGCAAATTATATATATAAGAAATATTTATAACTAGCTTCTGCCCGCGGCTCCGCCCACGTAAATGTCGGTCATCGCGGTAAAAATGCACTCCCTCCGCGTAAATGTTGGTTATCGCAGTAAAAAGTAGCATGTTTTTCCTCAAGAATCAAAGTTTCTACATACCAAATTCCATCTAAATTTATGACTCATTTTGCATGTTTGTAATTGCCCAAGTTTTCTTAAATTTATGTTAACAACATCATTCTGCTACATAATATTATGTGTTACACATAACATAAAGTCTGTATTTCTCTGCAATGTAAATAGCTTTAAATACACTTTTAAAGTATTAATTGTACTAACCTTATGGCATTGAACACCAGGTACAGCTGTTCTGAACAACTTCTTCTCAATAAAGCATGTGCTTTCAAAATGTTTGCTGCAAAGCATCTTATGTTTTGAATGGAGTTCATCCTGGAATTTTGGTGAAGACCAGGCTTTGTATGGAAAGCAATACTTTGCCCATAATTCACACCTGGAAATTAAAAAAAAAAATAAAATTAAAAAATAAAATACGAAATTAAAATTAAAAAGGAAATTAAAATTATTTTATGGCATCTGCATTGCAATGATAAATGTCCAAATGCCCAGAGACTGACAATGAAAAATGCTAGTCAGAATAGAAAGACTTCTACTGATAACACTGCGGATGGCGACCCTTAAAAAGGCGCAAATCTGACTATTCTATATGTATGGGTAACAGAGGCATCCATTGGTCTACATTCGTAGAGAACAGGGGAAGGTGTAAAGTTTGTAGCTTGAATAAGGTTCAGTCGAAACCTCATAGTAAATGTTCGCATTGCAACGTGTTTTTGTGTGTAAATGAGAAGAAAAATTGTTTTGTTGAATACCATGAGGTTAATCTGTAATTAAAAACCTAATAATTTAATTATTACTAAGTCAATATTGGATCTCATTATTTTGTAGTTTCTATCCAAGTTCCTAACATTGTGATAACACGAAGTTCCTGACGGCACTTTTAAGTCTAGGTCTTGGTAATAGTACTTCTAGGTATAATAAAAATCTAAAAAAAATCTGTGCGTTTCGTTTTACTTACCTTATTATGTAAATAAAGTTCAAAAGCGAAAATTTGTTAAAAATCACTACCCCGGGGGGAAAGGGTTAATAATCATATTTTTAATTAAGTTTTATCTAAATAACAATCTAAACTTTCTGTATTTCCTTTGATTGAAAGAGATTTAAAGGATGTAAACGAATAGCATGGAAAGTACTTAGGTAGGTACATACCGCAGAGCATTTTTTGAGCCAGGCTTAGGAAACCGATGCAAAGTGATGCTGGAATCTTTAGAAGGTGAAGATCCACACATGCAACAGATTCTAGTGTTTTCTTTCTGCGAACTCATTGCGAAAATTAAACACACAATCAAACAAGTCACTATCTCAACACCGAGTCTATATCTCACAAACACACACTTAATTTCACCAAAACACAGCCACGGAGGAGCAAACTCGACTCACGGTAACAATGTATGTAGAATTAAATGCAACTAGTTTATTTATTACAAATAAACATAGGTACAAGATAAAATGGTGCGGGAACCGCAGGCAGACATTTTTCTTGTGACGTCAAACGTGTTGCCAGTAGTTGCCACACATTTTCCCCCTTATCTTTTTTTTGTTTTTGTGTATTGATCAATTAAATATGTTATATTTCTTAGCAAAATAATTTTTTTGGGTATCAGAATAATCACAAAATGTATTTTTAAGGGTGACTTTCTTTTTTAGCTCATTGTTTTGGAGAAAACGAAATTGTAATTTTGGTGGCAACATTTTATAATTCATCTCTTTTACTCTAATGTTGTTGTCTGTTTCTTGTTTTCAAGCCCACCTACATCTTGTTCTAAGAACAAAGTTGACAGACCCTGTTAGCGTCTACCATCTATTCATTTTTCGGTCTCAAAGACACGCTCAGTTTAATATTAACAAATTCAATTTCATTTATACTTAGAACAAATACAATACAAATCAATATAAATTTCGATGATATATTATGATGTTCGTGTAACGAAACCATAGCGTGAGTCAAAAAAATGGCACAACGCCATCTAGTTACAAATTCGAAACTAGAATTTAATTACACTTACAAAGCTTACACTTCTATATGTAATCAATTGTATAAGCAGTATCCCATTCCTGCCATTACCTTTCCATACCCCCATTACCTTCCCAGTCACGGTGACCGCGTCCGTCGCGACGATTGGTCCGTACTGAAATCTCCACCAATCGCAACGCTAAATGCTCTCGCCGTCGAGAGCGAGTTGTTGTGAAATAAACTTACACTCGGCCCTCGGTCTTCCTATAAATATTCGATTGTTGATGACATCTCACAGAAAATCGGTTTCACGAATTATGTTTTCGTTTCTATTCACCGAGTTAGGGAAGTTACCGGAGGATCAAATCCTTCAGGAATCAAAAGCTGACAACGCGTTCGTCAGTCTTGATTTGCAAGTTTCTATGGACGACGACGGTAGTCACTTATCATCTGCCCGCAAATAAAACAAAAAAAAATCTTTTTCGTGTAGTAAAAATCTTTTTTATTTCATTACAGATCCGCTATAAGGAATACACTCTACACATTGCTGGTAGCCTCGAATCCCACAATGGACGTTGTATACAAGAAGCGCTTCGGTACGTCAGGCATCAGCGGACAGTTGTACGAAACGAAACTTATCAGTTTAATCCTATTTAGGTTACTGCACGACGACAGCGTGGAAGAGTTCTACTTAGCTTCAAACATGGATGAGATCGGTTCTTTCGACGACATTTGTCTCAAAATGAAAATTGTAGGACAAAGCCGGCCCATCGTGCTGTTCATTCAAGTAAAACATAGGGACAACGACGACAAGTTCCTAACATTAGATAATAAAAATGATGCTGTGAAGTGGTCCGACAGTATTCTAAAGATTAAAAAGAAAATTAACTCTAACAAGAGCAACGATAAGCTTTTTAGTGGAGACATCGATGAAACAGAATATGTATTCGTTCTGTACACCAATGCTAATTGCGATTTTGATTCACACGACGAATTTGAAAGTGATTATGCTTCGTGTTTGAATAATTTAATTGCTACCAGCGCCACAGTAGGCTCTCGGCCGCTTTACAATGAAAAAGACATTGAAGAATTTGGAGAAAAAATCTTGAAAGAGGAAATTGCAATTCTTGTTGAACGTTTTGCAAAGTTTTTAGGGGACAAAACTAATCAAACAATGAATATAATGAACGACGAGTACATACTTCGATATCATGTTATTTTATCACAGAAGATTGTTAATGTTTCCAAAATACAAACCGAAGATGACACACATGAATCAAAATGGCGGACATTGACTTTCCGAAAGGAATTCTTTAATAGTGACGACGAATACGTTGCACTATTCAGATATTATCTTTACGAACAAATACTTAAAAATCAAGTGAAAACAAGAAGACAGAACAGCGGGCCAGAAAAAAAACCAGCCTTGGACAGATCTATGTCAGAACCTAATGCTTTTACAGAGAAATTGATAACAGTATTCTTGTCTGAACCAACGGCTGAAGCACTAAGCCCTCTCATTGAAAATCAAATAACATTTAATAAAATGGGAAAATTAGAATTTTTTACTGAGAGGCCTGTAAATCAAGCTAAAAAAATTTCACAAATTAACGTTTCACAGTCAACAATAGATCTAGCCAAGGAAATCGCTGCGAAAACTAAATTACTGTCATTACAATTAAAAGTTCCAGTTGCTTTTGGTAATATAGATCTAGCAATAAGCGGCGGCCAAAAGAAGATTGAGAGAAGGTTGCATCATTTAACTGATGTTATTGTCGGTTTGTGTTTGAATTCTACACAAAATGAGTCTAATCACAAAATAGTTAGAATAGACGATACTATCGACAGTGGACTGTTAAGTGCGAACGGTGGGCTTGCAACCACAGTGGGTAATATCCTAACTTACGATGACAATACTAATCTTCTCAAATTTGCTGACGATTACACATTGCTCCAAGACAATGCAAAATCGCTATATTTGAAACTGAATCATAAGATTGAGAATCTTCATGAATATAGATTTGAGGTAAACACAACGAAGTTCCCGAAGCTTTCTTTCGACTGCGCAAATATAGCCAGAGAGTTTTTAAGTAAACTTGTCATCTATACAAAACAAAGTAACCATTATGAGGTAGAAGACATATTAAAGAAAGATATACAAAAGTATCTCAGCGCCGATCCACGTAATTGTCCAGTTTCGGCTGACAGTGTGTTTTTGTATTATCACAATGTTATACAAAAATGGTGGATGTCACCGAAAACTGGACCTTATCTCACAAAGACAAGCGATATATTCGTACAGGCAATCAACAACACCGTGGTGGAGCCTCAACTTAGCGCTTTACAAAATACGTTTTACATGACTAATATCAAATACTTCGGATGCAATTTCACAGAAAACACCTTAAAGTCCTTTAAATTGTCCGATGTGTTCTCAACAATTATTTTAGTCACAGATATAACCGCACTGACAGCCATCAAAGTTATTCAATGTCTGAGAAATACTTACTTCAGTAACAAATACACCGTCTTAGATTTTGAATGCGTTTTAAATTTGCCCACAACAGCGTTTTGTGCATTGGATGCAGAGTTGAGAAAAACAGAGAAAATTATCATTATGGTATTCGATAATACGCATGTCAGTGGAGGTTTACGAATCAGGTTATATGAACTTTCGCAAGCTATGAAAGAGAAACAGGTCATTATGATAACAAATAAGGCACTTATCAAAGTGATCAAAGAATGTTTTACGAACTCTGAAGTGGTCCACGATGAAACACAAAGTTTGAATGCCTTAACACCAGAATCTCGGCAGGATATCATAAAAAATGCTAGAGTCATATTTCAGGGAAAAGAAATAAGCTTAGAGGTAGTTGCAGATGATGAGTCTGTGGCATTTATAAAAGGACCGGTGCTAAATAAAATCATACGTAATGAACCTATAAGCTTAGGCACATCTCTCAGTAATTCAAATTATGAAGAAATTAAAGATTTATATGTTGACAGAAGAGTCAGTCAGTCTACAGATGATGCTTATGGTGAAACAGATTATGATAATGTACGTTTTGTTAAAACTTTTCGGGACATCGATGACGATGCGGTTCTTATAACAGCCGCGCCCGGAATGGGCAAGTCAACTTTGCTCACCCATCTGTCACTCAAAACAAAAGATCTAGACGAAAAGCTTTGGGTAGTTAGAATAAACTTATTAGATTATTCGAAAGAGTTCTACAGATGGCAGGAAAATAAAACCAATGTCAATACAGTGGAAATGTTAAAATTTATGTGTCATGTTATATTAAAAAATAATAACATATCAATTGACCTAAAAGAAGAAAACAACAAAATGTATTTAGATAATTGTATAAATGATGAGTGGGTTTTGTTTGAATTGAACATGTTCCTTCATTTCTACAACGAGAGGAAACTGATGTTTTTATTTGATGGTTTCGATGAAATCTGTCCACATTACAAAGAAAACGTTATTAAATTCTTTGAAGTGGTCAGAAACTTTCCACAGAAAAATAAAATGTGGGTTACGAGCAGACCTTATAGCGACATTCTACCAGATCTACATAGAGCACTTGGAAAATCTTATAAATTAGAACATATGAGTGACTCAGAGCAGGCGATATATCTAAAAAGCATATGGCGTCTTAAGTTAATATTTGGCAAACTTAATGAAGTACAACTTAAAAATATAAGTACATATATGACTTTTATTTCGGAAATTATGTCGTCAATGTATTCTCCCGATGCGTTACATTTCAGATTTCGTAAAATCTATTATATTTTCTTTGAATTTGTAAAATCGCACTTTCCGCATATTATCACACGTAGAGGTTATCCATCTTATAGAGACCGTAACATTATATATCATACCCTACCAGAAGAAAGAGGCGCTCCGAAAGCGATGATGGTTGAAATACTTTCAGACGATCAGAGGCCGAGTGTTGAGAACACAGAAGTTGACACACTACTAGGTACGCCGTTACTTTTATATTTCATTGCAGAGTATTTCCTACAAGTCATAGACACTAGCGAAAGCATCACGAAATGGCAATTAGGCATGAACATACTTTCAATATATGAAATGTTCATTGAGAGTAAACTTAAAAAAGTACTTTTTCAAGATAAAAACAAAATGGATGTCTATAATCCTGATATAATGAGTAAATTTGAAAAGGAACGCGCCGAGTGTGTAATGCTACATAAAAAAATTGCAACGTATGTACTCCTCGGCAGTCCAATATTTAATGGTTTGATGTTGGATGAATTCAAAGAAATGGATCCATTATATGAAGGAGGCTTAGAAGAGTTTAATAGTATTATAAATACCATCAAAACCGGTGCTGAAAAGACTGGTCTTATATCACATGTAACAGCTGATGATGTACCTGTATTTATACACAGAACATTTACTGAATATTTCGCAGCTGAGTTTATATGCGATATACTAAAAAGCAACAAATATGAATTCGAGAAAAAGAAGCTTTTATATACAACTACACATATATGTCACAAGAATGACGTTTTCCCGTGGATAAGTAAGAAAAAAGAAATGGACGAGGATCTTAAAGGTATAATAAGGAAGATAGAAGACACGAATCCATTACTTTTAACTTGGTATAAAAATTTCATGGCAACTGCAAATTGGCCACTGGAACTATATATTAGAATAATGAATTCTTCGCAGGAGGATTATGAAAAGGACTATATCAATCAATTTAACGAACACTATGCGTATATTGTGTTGTATAAACTACAACCGAAGGACAGAGAAGTGGCATTGAAAAAATTTCAGAAGAATTTGATTGTTAAAATGAGACCTCATCTAAGAAAGTTTTTTGCCCCAATTTGTAGTGCAGGAAAGAAAAGCTGGTTACGACGTGCTATTAGTTATAATTTGTGAGAAACATTACTTTGGTTTGATTGAGGAATTAGAAGCAATCATGTCTCAAGGAAATAACAATGGTTACTAAAGGCATAACCGGTCTCTGTCAATGTGAAAAGCAGAAAATGGCCTATTGTGTAAACGTTAGTATAGTTGTTGGCATAATACTGCTGCTGTTGTGCTGCAAAGTAGCACAATGCTGAGCCCACGAGTTTTGGATCAGACGGAGGTTTATTTATACTAGTGTTATTTGAACGAAAGCGGAGGAGAGTGTGCGTAATACTAATTTTGAAGTAATTGAAAATAGCTGTTATTGGACTGCACAGATGGCGTAGTGGCGCCGCTTACTACTACGCTGAGTATTGTGGGTCCGATCCCCAAATTGTTGTTCTGAGTCTGGGTGTTCTTTGTGTCCGTTTCCTGTATTTTTGTAAAGTCCCCCGCGACACAGGATATATTCCTAATGCGGGAGTTGTCTTATAAAAAAGAAAAAAATACATATAATGGAAAATATTTTCTTATAGTTTTAAACGTTGAGACGAATACGTAAAGTTAGACCCGTTAAACGCTTTTGACTGTATTTAAAGTTATTACACAACACTAAATGTTACACAACTACTTAAGTAAAAGACTATATTTAAGTTAATATGATTCTCAGATTCTTAGTTATGACATTCAACAACTGATTGTACTCAAAAATTCTAGTTTAAAATTTAAACAGGAGTACCGCAGGGCTCAATTCTTGGCCCACCTTTACAAGTTAATTTATAATTTGGTTTTCTTTCTCTTATTAAGCAATCTGTGCATTTTATAATAACAACCATAAAGTGATCGTATTAAACAGAATTAAAATTATGAATTATGTTTCATTTCACAACATACGACAATTTTTGTTTTCTATTGATATTATCATCATCATCATCATCAACAGCCTTTAATAGTCCACTGCTGGACATAGGCCTCTCCTGAGAAAGGAGGTTGTTGTAATACTATTGATATTATACATGTTCTAAATTCTACCGCGTGATGGTCAACATCAGACATCGTAGAGGATAACATGATGATCTTATATTATTAGTTCCCGCATAGCATCAATATGTTGAGGTACAACAACCGATTTTGGGCGACCTTCTTTAAATTCGTCCGTGAGCACAGACCGCCCACGATTAAACATACTAAACTAGTGATACACAGTTGTTTTTGAAGGTGCTTCGTCGCCAAAAGTCGAAGAGTCGAAGTGAGTTGATCGATGCGCTGTTTTTGAGCTAGCCCAGCACAAAGGATAAAGAAATGACAGCTTTATGAAACAAATTGTATTCTTCAACCAAAGAGTTCCATTTTTAAATGTTATAATTCATCATCAGCCTATCGCAGTCCACTGCTGGACACGATACGGACGGATAGGCCCCTCCCATTGCACGCCACTTAGATCGATTTTAGGCTTCTCGCATCCCGCTCCTGCCAGCCATCTTGCGCAAATCGTCACTCAACCTGCGCTGTACTACGTTCGCCGAGACGCGGTCTCCACTCAAGAACTCATTTTCCATAACGGTTGTCGGTTCTGCAGCTAATATGGCCAGCCCACTGCCACTTCAGCTTGCTAATCCGGTAGGCTATGTCGGTGACCTCGGTTCCCATCCGGATCGGCTCATTCCTGGTGCGATTCTTTAGATAAATGCCGAGCATAGCCCTTTCAATAGCACGTTAAGTGACTTTGAACTTCTAGACCAGCCGTACCGTACCTAAGTATCCACGTTTCGGCGCACTCATTGAACACTTTCCCCTTAAGGCACTGTGGGATCGACGATGAGAAGACTCGACGCAGCTTCCCAAACGCTGCCCAACCCAACTGAATTCTTCTGTTCACCTCGTTCTCGAAGTTGTTTCTACCTAACTGCAATCTAAAAAATCTGCCCGAGGTACACATAATTTTGAACAACTTCGAGAACGGCACCGTGTACCGCAATCGGTTCCGGTAGTACATGTTTATGGAACCTGACCTCGGTTTTATCCAAGTTCATCCGTAGGCCGATGCGTACAGAAGAGTCAGCTATGTCATTCAGCATCTGTTGTAGGGCCTGCAATGTCCTTGCCATGATGACGATGTCGTTTGCAAATCGCAAGTGAGAGATGTCTTCGCCATTGACATTGACGCCACGCCCTTTCCAGTGCAGCGTCTTGAATGGCATTTGTGAACAATATCGGGGAAATAACGTCCCCTTGTCTCACTCCTCGATGCAATGGTATGGGACTTGTTTGCTGATTGTGTACTTGGACGGACATGGACGGACGAAAGCCGCCAGCTTCGTAGAGACATTTCGTCACTTGGATGTATCGCCAATCTGCTTGGCAACGCTGCAGGGACTTCCTGAACAGACCAATGTTACAATTACTTTTTTAATATTGTTCTGTAACTGGCCAGTTCCGGATACATAAATAGCAGCCTTCGTATTACAATACACCGTGACGCAGGTCCACTGAAGAGGGTGATACTTTTAAAAAAATTAACTGTCATCATTCTGTGCTTAATACAGCTCTGTCTAGCCCCTAAGGGATACAGGTGTGAACGTGTGTTTAAAGTTTTAAAATTTAAACAAGTTGATCGTTGAAAAATAATAATTTATTAATACAAAAGAATTGTCTTAGATAATAAATTCTTGCTTAAACATAATATATAGCGACCATTGCATTATTAAGTTATACTGTAGCAGGCGACTTGTAACAAAATGGCGATCAAGTATATCTGGTACAGTCAAAACTCGTAATCAGTCAAAAGTAGTATTTACTGAAAAAAAAATCAGCCAAAACTAGTTTTGACTAAACAGATTGGTCAAAAGTAGTTTTGTTTGGTCAATCGTTGCTAAATAGTGATTTAACTGCAAATTTGTGATTAAATTTGCTTTTGACTGACGTTCTTAGTCAAAACTACTTTTAACCACTAGGACATCAATCAGAGTCACTTTTAACTGATTAGATTAGATTCAAATCTAACCAGTCAAAACTAGTTTTGACAATCAGTTAAGCATGCCACTGTTAACCGATTTAAAATATGATTTAAGTCAAAACTACTATTGTACAGCCTGCGGTCAAAACTACTTTTGACTGATATTTCCAGGTAGTACTTTTCACTGGTTAAAAGTTTCACCAGCAATGCATTTACTAGAATATACACGCTATTGTTACATTAGGAAGTCGTTACGAATAAAATAAATTTATACAAGTAAATAACTGTCTGTAGCGCTTCGACGCCTAAACTGCTGCATCAATTTTGATGAATTTTGTTGTAAAGATACACAGATTTTACAGGACATCGTGCTCTATTCTCAACTGCTTGGTGACTATTGTTAATATTATTTATATTGTAAGCAATAATTGATTAAATTACAGTAAAATTTCAACATCTGCGCTAACGCTTGGTAATTTTTGCCTATGTATGTATTTTTAATACGGTTCTACATGTTGATATATTAATTGGCAATTGTTAGTAAAGAATATTCATCCCCCTCCGAGCTTCTTCCCAAACTAGGTGGGGGTCGGCGTTCAGTCTACTACAACACGGCCGGACTAGGGAGCGACTGCCATCAGACCTGCTCAACCCAAATACCAATCGAAATCGAAGTTCTATTGAGACTTGTCGGACTTTTTAGGGCTCCATTTATCCGAAACGATGGCCATATCTCTCCGAGGTACGGAAGGGTCTCAATGCGTTAAGAATGGACCCATCCATAGAATGACCTGGCTAGGATAGCTTAACTTTACAATGTACTAAAGTACTCGGTTACCATTTAGCTACGAGTCATTTAGTAAAAAATATTATTTTCTTTAAATAATAAACAAGCGATCCTTACAGCAGTCACATATGACGGACAAAACTAGCACCGCGCGCTTATTGGTCAAATGAAACAGCGCGCGTTTCCTCGGTCCTGGAAAGCGAGGAGTGTGAGGCCGTACTGACAGCACGGCCTCACAGAAAACCCCTTTTAAGCTATTCTTTCGCTGTTTTCAAGGAATGGGTAACGGTAATGGAAAGCAGCCCCCCCCCTTAACCAACTTTGGGGGGTGATGGTTGTTGTCTTTTGAATTGCAGTGTCCATGGGCGACGATAGTGACTTACCATCAGGTGGTTCGTATATACTATGTTTCACATTTGAAGTGTCTAATAAAACAAATTATTGAAATGCAGTGACCAGGGTTGCCAATTAATTAATTAACTCTCACTAGATGGCGTTGATTTACACGCAGATCGATTTATAAATAAAGATAATCTCTACAACAAATACAGAGTCTCGTGTGTGATGACCCATCCCCACATCTTTTCTAATAACATTTAAATAAACTGCATTCGAACCGCACGCCAACTACAAAATATCTGTCCTCGTTAAAAGAAACTGTATTTATAATAGTAAAAAAGTAGCCCCTGATGGCAAGCGGTTACCTACACGGTTACAGTATTGTGAAGCTTTTATTTAAATGTTCTTGTTGAGTAGAATTCGAACCCGCGACCACTCGATCGTAAGGCAGTCCGAGGATCAAAAAACGACTCTGCCCTATCTCCTTTTGCAGCTGGCGTGAAGTCCAAACGCTTACTCAAGCAAACCGTTCCTCAAGTGCGCATAAATTATATATGTTGCATTCGAAACTCTGAATTAGCCCAAACTACTTCTGACTTTAGACTGAAATCATAGTCAAAACTAGTTTTGACCAGTGGTGCTGGTTAAAATAAATTATTAGGATGTATAATTTTATTTACACTGACCAGTTGAAAGTTAGTTTTGAGAGTGCTAGTCAAAAGTACGTTTAAAGTAGTCAAAATGACTACTAACTAACGATATTCAGACGAAACTACTTTCAACCAACCCGTCAGTCGAAACTAGTTTTGCCTGATATATATTTTTTTAGTCAAAAGTGGTTTTGACCGACTGAGAGTTTGGACTGTAGCTTTATATATATTACAAATAATATGTTAAATATATATTCTAGGCCTAGAAAGTCTTGCGGTGCACGGCGCGGTGTCCCTCCTCGTCGTACTCCCGCTTCGAGACCCACATCTTGCGGAATGTGTCGAGCGACGCCAGGATCGAACCCCCTATCCACGTGGAGTACAGGCGTTCTTGTGGCGCTGAGATCTGAAGACAACAGTGTATATACATAAGTTTCTGCACGATTAGACTAATTCGTTTTTAAAAATATATTAAACTAGCTGACCCGCGCAACTTCGTCTGCGTCTCTCAATAGTAATAAATTTTCTCCGTTTTTGAAACATTCTTCATTGGTGCTCCGCTTCTATTGGTCTTAGCGTGATGATACATAGCCTAAAGCCTTCCTCGATAAATGAGCTATCTAACACTGAAAGAATTTTTCAAATCGGACCATTAGTTCCTGAGATTAGCGCGTTCAAACAAACAAACAAATAAACAAACAAACAAACTCTTCAGCTTTATAATATTAGTATAGATAAATTAAATATATATTATTATATTATATATTATATTATATTATTATTATATTATATTATTTTAAATATATTATCGAGCGGGAATCGAACCCAACCCCCCTTGATGCTGTAGTAAGCTTAGAGTACTATTATATTTATTTATTTATTTCATTTTAAGAAGGCTTACAGACTAATAACAAACTTTGCTTAAGTAAAAATATCAATAAAGAGGTTGCTTATAACAAGCCTCCACATATGTATCCTCTTCCAGTCCCTGGCATAATCCTCTTCCGGTCTAAAGCCAGTTCAAATTATAGCTATACAATCCATTCGTTTACCGTATACCGTGTGGTGACGGATTAAGAATAAGGAACGTCACCACCCCTATTCGTCCCGTGGGTGTCGTAAGAGCCAACTAAGGGAGCAAACTACAAGAATAACAGTACTGCAAAGAGAAGGAAAACACAAACCCTGTACCAACACGTCTGGCCAGCGTGGTATAGTAGGCCAAAACCTCCTTTCTAAGGAGATGCCTATGTCCAGCGGTGGACTATTAAAGGCTGTTGATGATGATGATGAACCCATCCTCATAAGCAACTAGCTATTGCCCGCGGTTTCGCTTGCGTGGTTATTTTTTATTTCGTGTTTGTAACTTTGAGGATATTGAACTACCATACAACCATTCATCCCTTATGTATCCCATATATCCCTTTTAGAGGTGAAAGGACATGGCCAGTTTCTGCCTAGTTTTTTGGTAGCATGTACATTAATAACAGCCTTATGATAAGAAAATAAAAAGAAATATATAAATTATGGCATCCTTCATATTTCTGTCTAACTTCCGAGTGTTAACACAAGATTAAAGAGTTTTTTTTTTATTTCCTATACATTCAGGTTCTGCGCCATTTTGAGAAAACGTGTTTCCAGTAAAAGTAATGTTTACGTATAAAACCAGCGTAAATATGTAAAAATAATTACGTTGGTTCAAAATAGTACTAAAGATTAAAAATCAATATAGTAATGATATTTATGTACATTTATAAAAATATTATAAATGATTGTTATTAATTCATAATAATTATACTTCTTTGTGATTTGCTAAACAAAACGTAATGCTATGTTATCATGACAGCGGATCTGTCACTATATTTTAGAATTTTGGCATTTTGCTCACGTTGTATTATTTATACAAAAGTACCTACCTACTTTGTGTATTATTTACGCTTGCGTTTTTGTGTGAATAGTGCGATTTTCAACGTTTACCCATAATTATAACGACCATTGCTTTTCTTCACATTTTAGTTCGAATGATTGAATATTAAATGTCATAATAAAACATTTTATATAAAAACTATATTTTTTTATTTCACCCATTACCAATCCATTAAGCATCCACTCAGTCCTTCAGCGCACCTTAATCTAAAATCTGAACTTAAAATAATCTTGAAGTATTTAATTATTATATTTCTTAGTTATCGCATCCTCGTTAAAAAATACTTTTTCAGGATAAACTTAAGCATGTTTTACCGACTGGAAACCGAACTAGGGCCACTTAATTCAAACGCACTTACTACCACGGTCGTCTTTAAAAATAATATCGTATTTATTTTTATTATGTATCCATTTAATACCTTTTCAGTGCTCCGAACGCCTGTAGTTTTTATGAAAGCAAAACAGTTTCTATGAACTCATTGCTTTTAAGTTTAAGAAGGATTAAAACATGACATCCTTTTATGTAAATATCTAAAAAATCTGAAGTACATGGAATATGTAACATATACATTATATTTTTTAGGACAAATTTAATTCCAAAAAGCAAAATTTCGTTAATGTACATGAACTTTTACAAGCTAGGCAGAGGGCCTTGTATAAATTGGCCATGTCCTTTTCCAAAATTCCTTTCTTAGTGAGCACTTCCAACATAAACAGCATCAGCATCAGCAAAATGTTAAACTCAAACTCTGTTTATTTCATAAAAAAATTAAAATTGTTTGAAATCGTCTTTTATGTAGACTCTAAAGTCATAGATCAACACACACAAAAGCAACAATCTCTGTTTTGTCAAATAGTAAGCAAATAAATTTAACAAAAATCAAACCCATACAAAATCTATGAGATGCCTGTGCCGATCTACAACCGCCCGTTTCCAAGGGGTTGAGCCTTATGAGAAGAAAGGGCAAACAAACTCATGGCCACTCTTTTGCAATAAGTTTGACACGCCCACCACTGTAACTCCTGTACACCAGTGACCCACGAACACACCGAGTCGTGACACACGGGAGGTCTACTGAAAAGTTAAACTGTCTTGGAACCCATAACGAAATCAATCAGAAGTAAATTGGAGGAGTTGGAAATATAATAAATCTACTACCCTCCTTAGCAAAGCGGGTAACAAAATGAAGTAAAAATAGGCATCATCATCATAAACAGCCTTTAACAGTCCACTGCTGGACATAGGCCTCTCTTTAGAAAGGAGATTTTGGCTTACTATACCAGACTGAAAATGAGCATACATCCTTTTAAACAGGAAAGCACAGGCAGAAAATATTACGGGTCCTAGGTGAGCTATATTTGATTTCTATAATATGTTTGGCAGAATCGCCTAAACGCACGGAAATTCACCCTAGTTGACACAAGATCCTCATAGTTTACCGCCCTAGGTGTCACCGGTGAGGTATCCAGCATGATTTTACGTTAATTGTACCAAAGACTAAATTTCCATATTATACTTATATGTAGGTGTAGGATTCTGGGAAGTGTTCTCCCCTGGGATAGGGCGTGATTAGGCATGGTGTCAATTCGGGGAGGACCTGAAATAACATGGTCCGGGTCCTCCCCAGAGTAGGACACCTAAGGCCGGCCGTCGGGGTGGTTTTTAGTGGAATCACCACATACTCCTGGCTCCTGAGTCCCCGAGGAGCAGGAGATCAGAAGGGATTTTCCACCCCGTCAACAAAAAAAAAAGGTGTAGGATTCTAGTGAAGCTGCGCCGACATACCCTTATCTTCATGTCCTTGGGCGCGAGCCGGCGTATCTCGGCGAGGAGCCTGTCGCCGAAGCCGCGGAACAGCGTGGAGCCGCCCGACAGCACGATGTTCTGGTACAGCACCTTGCGCAGGTCCATGTCCGACTTCTGGATCGCGAACATCAGCACTTCATGCAAACCTGACACACACATAGCTTTTGTTACACATTAATTTACACTAGCTGACCCGCGCAACTTCGTCCTTGAACTTTCTCCGTTTTTGAAACATTCTTCATTGGTGCTCCGCTCCTATTGGTCTTAGCATGATGATATACAGCCTATAGCCTTCCTCGATAAATGGGCTATCTAACACTGAAAGAATTTTTCAAATCGGACCTGAGATTAGCGCGTTCAAACAAACAAACAAACAAACAAACTCTTCAGCTTTATTATATTAGTATAGATTTGTCACGTATACGCGACTATGGCGCTCAAAGACGGTTAACTAATAGATAAACATTTCTATAATCAAACTTAGACCAAGGAATTTGATGTATCTTTAAATTAAGTGGCCCTTGTATTTCCGGCTTAACATTTTCTGATACTGTCAACAGTCCTCATGAAGTAAAAAAGACATCGAAAAATGTAGTCAAATGCGGGTCGGACTCGCATGACCGATTGTTGCTAAGACTTTACAAGTAATAACACAATTTTAAAAAACCCCCGACACAAAAAAAAACAGTATAAAGTCAAAATAATAGGATTTTTCATGCTCACACGGTTATTTGCACGATACCTGTACCTAAAAACCAGTTTAAATATTTTTTGTCTGTCCGTCTGCCGGTCTGTCTGTTTGTTCTGTGTAATCTTCAAAACGGCTGGACAGATTTTGATAACATTTTACTACCAGGTAGCTGTCTATAAAAGGAGAAACTTAGGCTATTTTTTCCGTCAGAAAAAACATATAAAATTTTGCCCGGTCTGGGTATCGAGCCCACTAAGGCCGAGCTTTTCAAATTAAACGCGAACGAAGTCGCGGGCACCGGCTAGTTATTATTATAATAATAAGTCTGAGTACACGGTTTTAATTTCAACTCGATACCTCCACGCGTTCCCGAGATAAAGAGTTGACAGACAGGCAGACGAACAACAAAGTGATCCTATAAGGGTTTAGATTTTTCCTTTTGAGGTAGGGAATCCTAAAGTTATGTAAAAACGGGTAAATAACACTATATCCAGTATATGTTGACCTGTCAATACAATGACAGGTCAAGTAATACTGGTCAATAAAATAAATCAAAATTGCCATGCAATAATATATACTCACCTTCGCACTCCTCGCCGATGAGATCAGGTCGGAACAGCACCTCTGGCGCCCGGAACCTCGCCTGCCCTATCTGCTCACATATAAAACCAACAGATAATCACAAACCTTCAAAGAAATACACATTAAAAGTTTACGGTGCTGAGCTGATTTCAGAGCCAACTGGGGCCCATTAACAAGGAGTGAAGCGACCTACTGCGACAATACCAAAAGCCATGCGAGCTGATGAGGACGGGAAGCTACTTGGGGAGGTTTCTTAAACTCCCAGCAACACTGATACACATATACCCAAAAGCTTTTTGGGACCCTATGAATTACTCCGAGAAAACCCATAATCGATGCTTACCTACAAGTATTTTTTTCATACAGCCTTAGGAATTTAATTTATGTCGCGAGGGACTCCCAGGGAACCCAGACTCGAAACGACAAAGTGTTGTTCCATATGGGGATCGAACCCACAACACTCAGCGCAATAGAAAGAGGCGTGGCGATTGCTTTGCCACTGCCACTTAATACTGAGTGCAAAATGTGTTTTAACTGTTACATAGTGTAAACAACTGTTGTTGAATAAATAAATAAAATAAATAAACGAGAGGGGGTACGGGATCTTGGCATTTACTACTGGTGGTCATCGAGTGGGAGTGGGAAGTAAATAATTTAAAAAATAAAAAAGCCGGACAAGTGTGAGTCGGACCTGCCCACCGAGGGTCCCGTACAAATAAATAGTTCAGGAATCAAGTCTCGCAGTTTTTGCCGAGCTGTTCCCGAAAGTTTCAAAAACTTATAATTACTTATTGTGATTTATAAGTGAAATTGTATCTTGATAATTGATTACATCTATACAAATAAATAAAATTGAATTGTCTGTTTGTAATGTCAAAATAATAGATTTTTTTTCATACTTACACGGTTATTTGCACGATACCTATGCCTAAAAACCAGTTTATTTTTTTTTTGTCTGTCTGTCTGTTTGTTCCTCATAATCTTCTAAACGGCTGGACCGATTTTGATAATATTTTACTACCAAGTAGCTGTCTATATAAGGAGTAGTTTTTCCTCTTAGAAAAACCTTTAAATTTTACCCGGACCAGGAATCGAAGCCACTAAGGCAGCGCTTTTGAAATTTCACGCGAACTAAGTCGCGGGTTCTAGCTAGTACTTTGATTAAATACTATTTGTTTTTTATTTAATGACAAATGTATAGTTTTCAGACTTTTTATAGTTCCAAGCTTAGCAAGACTTTTTATCATCATCATGGGGTGCCATCCTCAAAATGAAGTTTGGAGGTCAGCAGACGGTACACCTCTCGATCATGAGCGGCCTCCTTTAGTTGGCGATATCGCAGTCCGGTCCAGGCCACGATGTCATCTATCCACTTCCTTCGTGGTCGACCTGGTGTCCTGCCTGGTATTTTTCCTTCTAACAGAAGCCTCAGGAATTCATGAAGACTTTTTATAGTTTAGCCAAATTTTATAGTTCTGGGTCAACGGGAAGTACTCTATAAATTTTGATTTGAATGTCGAAATATATATGTTTTTTGCGGCTTAAACGACCGTACCTTTTTTTTTCGTTAACTTATAAGTTGGTTTTTTTCACAGCTTCAAGGGATTGTAGACCTAAGTATATAGTTTTAATTTCAACTTGATACCTCGAAGCGTTCTCGAAATAAATGGAACTTTGTTTAAAAGCTACAAGGGTTTGAGGTACGGAACCCTAAAAATGGGTCTTGTAGTATGGATTTTTATTTTCCCTCAATAACGAACCCACGTTTATAATGTAACTAAGACCTATAACCTTTTATAAACTACATATAAGATCTTGTTTACAAAAAATATGGTAGAAGTTTACCCCACACTAGGTAAATTAGGAGGGAAACTCGTCAGTTCAGGGCCGTAGCTAGTCTCAACTAATACTATCATTATTAATGTAGGTTTCATAATTACACTTACACTCCTTAACGTCTCAACCGGTTCAATTCAAAACTTTATTTTTGGCCATTGGCCTCGTGGTCAATGATTCCACTTACCTCCAGTTGAGTTCCATCAGGTAGTGTGTACTGAGCTCTCTCTGTCTCGAGAGTCTCCTCCTTGAGAGGGTTGGGCGAGAGGTAGCACGCCCTCTCCTTGATAGCCTTCACGATCTCTAGCTCGGCAGAGGTGCGGAGGTTGACGCCCTCCTTGCGGAGGAGTAGCCTGGAAACAGGAGTAATTAAAGAATTACCGAGGAATTAAATGGACCTATTTCGTTTAATTATTACCTAAAGTTGGCCAGTGCAGTCTACAATGAGTCTTATTACAACAACACAGAGTTCTTTTTATCATCACATATTATTTTCTTTTCTTGCCACTTAGTCCACGTGCCTTAAACGTAATACCGGCTCCTATTGACGATAGCGTAATGTTATAAAGCCTATAGCCTTCCTCGCTGAATGGGCAATACAAAACTAAAGGATTTTTTTGAATTTGAACCAATAGTTTCTGAGATTAGCGCGTTCCACTAAACAAACAAACGTTTCAGTTTTATAATATTACTAGATTTGCCTCCGCCCGCATGTATGGCAGTTATCGCGGTAAATAATAGCCCATGTCCTTTTATTTCATATTATTATATATATATATAGATTATTGATTTCCCATACAAACTTCCACCCCCTTTTTTTTTTCGTGCGGATATCCCCTCGGATACCACCATGGTGGCATGTCGGACTCGAACCGACTAAAACCGCACGCCGTCTCGGGTACTAATAGCCGGGGAACCACGTATACCCTAGAAAGGAAGTCCCTGGTGCGAAACCTCCACCCCCTAAGAATGATTTCTGGGATAAAAACTATCCTATGTTCTTTCCCGGGACTCAAGCTATGTTCATATCAAATTTAAATCGGTTCAGCGGTTAAAGCGTGAAGAGGTAACATACAGAAAAACACATTTTTGCATATATAGTATTACATGGAGATATGGATAGTATTATAAATATATAGTCTAAGGTGGTATGTATGTATACCGGAGATATCTGGTGACGTCCCTGCCGGCCACGTCGACCCTCATGATGGAATGTGGCATGGCGAACCCTTCGTAGATAGGAACCGAGTGGGTCACCCCATCGCCTGAGTCCAGCACCACGCCCGTCGTCCGCCCCGTTGCGTATCTGGGAATGAACACGTTTAGAATTTGAGTAAGCTTACATCAACTTTATGGTAATCTGATTTAGAAAGATTTAAAAATCATTTAACCGCGCAATACCGAGAATCGTTTTAATAATAATGCAGGGTGACATGGAACAATGAGTTTTATATCAACATGCATAACATCGAAAATGGATAGTCGCGCGATTATTTTTATAAGCGGACAGTTCTCGTAGGGACTGGATTCTGCTAGAATGTTCCTTTACAAGGTGTATGAATACAAGCCGTCTTCGGCGATTAATTCAGTTCAGTTCGAGCTACAGTGCGATAAACATCGAAGCGATTGAAGCTAATAGAAGTGTGACCCAGCGACCACGGCGATCATTCCGTTTTTAAGTGTAGTAATAATAAAGTCTCTTTAGTAGTCAAAAGGTTTATTATTCCAAGTCAACGAACCTTAAGACGTAAAAATATTAAAATGGTGGACCTCTGTTTGAAGATCAAGCCTTACCCAATGTTTGTTCTGATCAAAATAATCGGCAGTTTTAGCTTCACTACTTCACGAATAAAGTTATTAATAAACCGGAGCCCAAAACCGCCCTCCCCCAAAGCCTCAATTCAGCTAATTTAATATTGTATCAATAGACTGTCGATGGAATGTCGTCGGAATAGTTTTGCACTTTTTCAACTCACTATGTAAGACCAATGTCCTCCCAATGACTTGTCACTGAACTGCCACCGATAAAAAGGTAGTCGATGTCTTTGTAATAGTTTGGTAAACCGTACATTTCCAATTTGTAAGGAAATGAAATATTTAATTTTCCAGATATGGCAATGTTTTTAATATCACCATTGATGAGCCATTGTCACTACACCCACAGTCCATTGACACTGTGGTCACCGTTTACCAAACTATTATATACTTTATTTTATGTTAGTAGAATACCGATATTTTGACGAATGTCAATGGCATCTCAATAGCGCGTCAATAGAATAACAGAGGATGTACGTTAACATTAAATAGCAGGATTGAGGCCCTGTTCTAGGGCGGATGACTCTAAGGGTGGCAACGCTCTTGTGACTCTGAGGTGGAAGTGTCCATAGGCAGTAGGGATGGAATAAATTCACCGTCCTCACCTACTTACCTTGCTCCCTACTTATGTTACCTGTCTAGCAATCATGACAGAAATCTTCGCTCAGATAACAATCTGCTTCTCTTATGTCCCTCTCACAACTCCGACTTCGTGAACTCTTCGTTCTTTGTTCAAGCAGTACTACTCTGGAATGCGCTCCCGCTCGAAATCAGGATGTCCACAAACCGCTTTATATTCAAAAGAAGGTACATGCTCTCCTTCTTAAAGAAATGGCAGAACGGTCTAATCCATAGTTAAGTATTGATTTTTCAGGTTTTCATAGTGTACGAATATGATATGTCTACGTATCTATATAAATATACTTGTATATATATGTATGTGTATCTATGCGTATTTATGATGTGTAAGTGTAGTATGTGTGTATATGTTTATATATGTAGTGAACCGTATATATTTTCATTGTACATTTGATATTATGATGTAACCTCTGTGCACCTACCTGACAAGATTTCTACATCACCCAAAGGTTGACTGGAAGAGAATGCCCTGGGCATTAAGTCCGCCGATGTACAAAAGTGCATAAAGATGAATAAATAAATAAATAAAATAAAATCACTATCACCTGTTATAAATCACTATCTATTGCCCACGGCTCCACCTGCGTAAATGTTGTCTATGTCTTTCCTCAAGAATCAAAGTATCGTCGTACTCGGTTCAGCGGTTATTGATTAATCATACAAACTTCCAGCCCCCCTTTTCAGCCCCTTAAAAGATGATTTCTGGGATTAAAACTACCATATGTCCTTTCCCGAGACTCGGACGATTACTATACCAAATTTCACACTCACAGATACACTTTCGAATTTATAATATAACTATGGATAATCATAATCGCACCTATGACTGATTTACAAAACCATGATTACGCTAGCGCCAGACGTTCTAAATCTAAAAAAAAAACAAGTCGTCTTTGATAAAACATTTGCTATTTTCTTTGCTCAAGTTTTGTCTATGACCAAATACCAGTACTGATTTTTCAAAGGTGAAATCGCAGGAACTAAAACCATTCATTTCATAACACTTACATCGCTGGCTCAGAGACCCAAAATGTGTCTAAGCCTTCAGCCAATCAGCACTTTGATCTCTTCAATCATTTCATTCACTAATGGGCAGTGACAATCACCTGATGGTGATCCATTTGCAGTTAAAATATCATCATGAGCTTAGAGCTTTACTTAGATTCTTGAATTTGAATTGAACTTGAATTCTAGACTCACGGTGCGGTTAGAATCTATAATCTATTGTAAACTAGCGTCCGCTCCTGCTTCGCACAGGTACAATGCTAATATGGTGTTAGTGTGGAGTAATTAGTTATGCAGGACATTTTCATATGCAATATATATAGGTCTGCTCCACTTTAAAGATAAAAATGGTTACTGTGGGTTATCACCATGTGGTACCATTGCAGATATATTTTTTTGAAGTTTTTTTAAGATATACCATTCCTTTGTAAATACATTATTTTGCTCTATCTCGTAAGGATAAGTTTTTAAGACAAATCATGTGCATGTACTATACATATTAACCTTCCTCTTGAATCACTCTCTCTATTGGTGAAAACCGCATCAAAATCTGTTGCTAAGTTTAAAAGATCTAAGCGTGCGACACAAGAATATGACTTTATTTTATACTATGTAAAGATTACTAAACTAAACAGGCACCTACACCAGAAGTTAACTGATAGTATACTCACAAGCTCAGTACGGCTTGCATAGACAAAAATAAAGCAGGTACATTGAAAGTCTCGAAGAACACCTCTGCAGCTTTCTCTCTATTCCGGCGAGGGTTGAGAGGTGCCTCTGTAAGCAACACAGGGTGCTCCTCGGAGAATGTGGACAGTTGATCCTGAGGAAAATTAGTCCCATCGACTTAAAAATCCAGCTCTTAAAAATTACAAATACTTGACTAAGTTTTTAATACAAAATCTTACATACCTTACTATAAATATAATTCCAAACTCTTTCCATATCATTCCAATCTGTTACAATGCCATGTTCCATTGGATACTTGATACTGAGCAACCCACGGTGTTCTTCAGCCCGGGGACCCACAAAAAGCTCTCCTTCTAGAGCACCAGCCATCACTCGAACATGTTTTGGGCGGCCAATACTACAAACAAGAAGACATCATTGAACAAGTGTTTATATTATGTGTCTATTAGACTTGTCAGCAGCAAGTTTTCTAAAAGACTGACACACTTATGTATCTAAATGTTTTTGAGTACTTACTAATTTGGAAATCTGCATTTTGGTATTTGATCACCAGCAAATCCAGCCTTGATCACTCCGGAGCCCTGCCAAACACAGGTAACACAATTTATTTGCACAGAACACACGAAGAAATTTGCATTTTTTCTCCAAATGGGGTATTGTCATAGTTTGATGACTCATTTTGAATAACTGTTGTATGAAAACGTTTAAAAAAACTTCTTAAATGCATAGAAACACGTCATAGATAGCTTTTACTGCAGCGTAAAATAGGTCAACAGTCGAATTAAATGAAAATTACAGTCGATAATCGTAACATACAACCCGCAAAACTAAGAATACTTAGCCAAATTCAACAATATTTACATTGTCGATAACCACAGGCTGATTGACTATAACATCGTTAAGCTCCATTTTGCCTAAGACTGGATTTAATTAAATACTAATGAATGTAGATATTATTTTATTTCACTAATGTGAATTACAGTAAATTCCACATTCGCTTTTTCTAAAGTGAATTAACAGACATTTGACAATATAAATTTTTAGCATCTTCACACGCGGTCTCTGTCGCGCACACTGTGTCAAACTATGTTATATCTCTCTCTCAAATTTTAGTAAGAACTAAAAGAAAACCGGTATCTGGAACGTTCAAAATGACATCAGATGAAACGATTGATCTTCCCAATTTTACCATCACGAAAAGTTAAAAGTTTCATTAAAGTGAGACAATAATTAATTATCTTAGAATTATTTTATTGTTTTATTTCAGTGGATAAACGCTATTAAGTTTTTCTGAAACTTTTGTCTTTTACACAAATAATATTAAAATGATCTATAACCATCTTCATAAATCAATGAAGCTCAATTAGCTTACAAAACATACGTCATGCACATACATAAACAAATGTCAAGATTATTGACCAAAATTGCAAATAGATTGTTTATTAAGCTTCAAGCTTAATATATAATTAGAATCATGCTGATAACAACTGTTCTAGTCACAAACTTTATCTTAGCTGCTGCTCAAATTAGTGCAGTTACAGAATACTGTGATGTTAATTCAAAAAGCAGTGATTGTAAGCTCGAGGACTCTGGCATCAAATATCTGTTTTACGATGTTAATCCACCAGAAGGCTTTAATTTACGTCGAGATGTTTACATGAGGTTTGCAATAATGCTGTCAGAGGCTCATAAGAGAGGTAAAAGTAATTGGAAACTGGTTTTACCGCCTTGGTACAATCTTTATCATTGGAAATCGGATCGGGGTGTTAAGAAGCCGTGGAGTAAATTGTTCGAATTAGACGCTTTAAAATCCTTTGCACCTGTCGTAGAAATGCACGAAGTGTTTAATAACACAAAATCAAAAGTACTAGAACTTGATACTTTGTATGTTTTAGAAAATTTTGAGGATGCCTTTGAAAACGGTGTTTTTACTGAGAAATGGGAGATTAGCCGAGGTACTTGTGAACACAGTACGAAATTTTGGGGCTATAAAAATATTACTGTGAAAGAAATTCTGTGTGTGAAGTTTCAAGGGCAAATTTCTAAGCTCTGGGAGTTAATATCACAACATCCTCATGACACTAAAGTCATGTTTGCACACGGTGAAATACCTTTACATGACACTTACGGCACTAAAACTTATTGGGATTGCCGTAAAAGTATGAAATTCAATAAGAAACTTGTCAAAATTGCAAAAAAATACATCTCCGAGCATTTAAACTGTGAAAGTAAGAAATGTAAAAACTACCTTAGTGTTCATTGGAGAAGGCAGGATTTTGCCCGGAGCAGGGGTAATGAAGTTCCATCCATATCAGGAACGGTAAAGCAAATACTTAAAACCCTTAAAAAGTTACCGGACATCACAACAGTTTTTATAGCAACAGATGCATCAATGTCCGAACTTAACAAAGTAGAAAAAGAATTATCAGATGTTGGATACGAAATTCATTTCTTTTTACCGAGCCCAACAATAACGGATGAGTACGGAGATGGGGGGATAGCAATAATTGACCAAATAGTTTGCTCCCGTGCTGCATATTTTATTGGTACCCATGAGAGTACATTCACATATAGAATCCAGGAAGAACGAGAGATATTGGGCTTCAAAAGTGATACCACATTTAACAGACTATGTCCTGATACTGGACTTTGCGAGGAACCTTCAAAGTGGACAATAATTAATTAACAATGTTTGTAATATCATTTAGAGACCTTTCATTGTTCTCATAATACATGTGTCATGATATGTTTGCAGTCAGGAGAGTTAGTGAGACGGAAACTGTGTCATGTGGCAAAATTTTGTAATTCAGTGATTTTTTAGTGCCATTAATTTAAACAGACTTCAAAAACAGAGGATCAATTTGTCTGAATTTTTGTTTTGAAGTTAAAAGTGTTCTAAAATGACGAAAGTATAAGTATAAAATATTTCGGACATCTAACACACAGCTCCATCTAGTTTCAAACTAAGGAGAGCTTGTACATTGAAAGCTAGGTTGACTGATAATAATAATAATAATATTTATTTGCTGGTCAAGGGTATACAATGGTGTTAACGTTACATTTGAAATAATACTTAAATACATTTATACATATTATACGTAGAAAACACCCAAACTCGAAAACAAATATTTGCAGATCATACAAAAATTTGGTCCGACGCGGGCATCGAACCCGAGACCTCAGCTCAGCAGTCGCATACGCTAGCTACTGCACCAACGAGGCAGTCAAAGTGTAGTATAATTGGTTACAGAATAAAATCATATAGATACTATTATCAAAACATGGTGAGGGATTAAGAAAAGTTTCCTTCTCTTTGCAGTGCTGTTGTCCTGCGTAGTTTGCTCCCTTAGTCGGCTCTTACAACACCCACGGTATGAACAGGGGTGCTGACACTCCATATTCTTAATCCGTCACCACACGTTACTAGAGTTGGCCGTCAAATAGTTAAATGTTACACACCATATTATGTGAATACTGTAATTGTTTTTTTTTTTTAAACGGTACAGTTAACAAATCTTGAGGTATGTTAAAAATGTTGTTTTCTCATAATAGTTATAATGCCATTTGCATTTATTTATAAAAAAAAAATATTTATTACAAGTATAAACATTTGTTTTGTCATTAAAATCAAATATTTTTTTCTAAAACAAATAATAAATAAAAAGATTGTGTAATTTGTCTATAGTATGTTTATCAGCAGTCTAGTTACCATCGTAAAGGCTCTGCTTTGGTGTATGATGCATAAAGATAGTATAATGGAGGGAGTGAACTGTATATTCCTCTGTAAGTGGTATCATACTGCCGTTAGACAGAGTGCAGATCAATCAGTGCAGAGAAGAGAGAGAGATGCAAGACCGAAATCTTCCGACAATCTTCTTTCTGTCTCTACCAACCGTATGTGATATCGTCTTGTTCACTTCCTCTATATTTATAAGCTCTTTGGTCTGATGCCATGTGACTCCTGAGTTGCAGAAGTTCATGGGCGGCGATGGTCACTTTCCATCAGGTGACCCGTCTGCCCCCTTTAGCAAAAAAAAAATGTGGATGTGTCAACCTATTTTGTATCTGAATCTCATTTAACAGCATCATAATTAATTCTTAAACCTCAAATACCGCAATCTTTTTGAATTTTGATGCTGATTTTTAGTTAAGCTGTAGTCTCTGTAAGTGTAAATGTGCCATAATAATAATACCAAAAATTTATAAAACCATTTTCGAAGTGTGTGTTTATTTTTCATACCTACCCTACAACTTGTCTGTCGTTTATACATTGAAATGCAAAGTAACGTTTAAATGTGTCATTTCGGGAAGTTTGCATTACAGCCATTGGTAGAAATGCTTAAGTTAAGAATAATATTCAACTTGTGTAGCGCAACTGCATTCGTAAACAAGTTCTTGTCATCCTGTTTTCTTTTTTTTAAGCGTAACAATTGTCCTCTCACTTTGTGGGAGTGATTTGGTGAAAAGAAACGGAAATGGGTAAAAGAGATTCCAGGAAACGCGCGCTATTTGATTTCACCGATGAGCACATAAGAGTTGGCTGTCAGGTGGTAAAGCTGAGTAAAGCTCGAATGCTCGATGGTTGTTTTTTAATTTGAATTTGTTATGGATTCAAACGAAGTCTCTGGCGGCCTGCGGCCCCGTCGACGGCTGTTATATGCCGACGTCCTCTACGTTCGGTATCGGCCCTCTCCCGATCCCGTTCAGCGGTCTCTTTCTGGAGCATTACAGCTGCACAGAAAGAGACCACTGCGCCCAACGTTTCTGCCCTATGAGTAGTCTCTCTCACACCAGTACGATTGTTATAATAATTTGTTAATGAAATAAACATTTTGATTAAACTAAACAAACTTTCATATCAAATATGTCAATAATTCAAAAGAGGAAGAATAGGAGAGTTCCATAACTGATCCCTAATGACCATATCTGCATGAAACCGCACTGTAATTCATTTCACTTTCTGACAGCGCCGTTCATTTCCAACAAATATTTTTATTTTCTTACGCCCGTTTTATACTTCCGCCAGTGTTAATTCTTTCTTCCTTTTTCAATCTGTTCTCTCTGTACTTTTCACCAGGAAACAAATATTTCTAAATTCTTTCTACGAATTCAAACGAAACACGAGGTCAGGTGAACAAAAATTGCCCATAATGAAAATTCAACCGTTTAAAACGATTTATTTTATTATTTTAGATTTATTTTTATTTAAAACGTTTTAAATCGGTTGTTTTACACCAACATTTCCTGCCTTCATGCCTGCATTTTCCTATCTTTCTTGCCTGAGAAATGCGTTAATAAATAAAATAAAAAAAATATTATTCAGCCAATATATATCTACATTGGTAAAAAGAAAATAAGTTGATATTTTTGCTCGATATTTTCACATGTCCAGTCTTTGGGGAAAATAATAATAACCTTACACATCTAACACACGGTCGTCTGATCCCAAACTAGGCAGAACTTGTTCTTTGGTAACCAGACCCCTGATAAACATACTTATATACCGATATTATTTCTGAATACATACATATTATAGATAAATTACACCCACAGAACTAAATTAAATGATCGTTCTCATAACACATTTATTTGTCCTGGGTGGGAATCGAACCCACGACCTCTGACAGTCAGGGTCACCAACCATGAGAACAACGGGCCAGTCAGTTCAAACAAGAAGGTGAATAGGAGAGTAAATAAATATATTATTTAATGCAAAATATTCATTAAAATCATAATAAATGTATTACTACCTATGTAGTACACCTGTTTGTATGTATGAATGTATATTCGTGTATGTGTAATTATGTGTGTAAACATTACTTAATATACGGAAGTTGTGAATGCGCACCACACGCTACATATTACTAAATAGTATAGTCCATCTAAAGGTTGCCTGGAAGAGATCGCAGACTGCGATAAGGCCGCCCATTGTATCACTGTTTTGTATGTATCATCGCATGTATCCTAAAATTCCTATATTCCTATTCCTTCCAATAAAACTTCGAGCTCCAGTCGTGGGTTACCAGAAGGAATGAATCATAGAGAATACGGGGTACAGCTAAAAGTGAGATGGATGCCCGAAATTTCCCTCTGTCTCTGGTTAGCTAAGCTGCGATTGGCTATCGTGAAGTGGGCATGATTTTGATTGTAGGACAGGCGGGAGATTAGAAATTTAACCAGCCAACCAACCACAGTGCTCGACTAGAAAGAGATAGAGGGAACAATCTGTTTTCCGTTGCCTATATTGTAAGATTGGAGCTCTTGTTCACAATATGCTTATATCTCTATGGAATGAATCCGGAACTCACAGTTGAAGCTGTTTGGAAACACTGAATTTGGCTGAATGTCTGAAAACTTTACCGTTCGTCGTCTTATTAGGATGTTTGTTGAGTAACTTGTACATAAAAAATAATATGTTACAATAAGTAATAAACAATAAAACATAATAATAGTTTATTTAGACACTTTATTTGTATTAAATGTGTTTTTTTTAAGTTGTTCATATCATTTGGGCATAACTAGTTCCTAATTTGGCAACTTTGCATCCCAATTCTCATAAGTAGGGATGATCGATTTTGCACAAACATCGGTTATGGCATCGATAGCAGAACATCGATACTCGATGTTTATTGAGCACAAAAAATCAATATCAGCCAACATCGAAGTTTTTTGCAAAAACTCATCAATAAAAAGGACATAAAATAGCATGATTTTTTAATTTAACGTGTTTGAGTGCAGACCGTCGATTTACAAATTTAGCATTCGCGTTAAAAGAATAACTTCGCTGCTGGTAACAAAGCTTTCTGAGTCTTAAGTTTACAATTGCAGGAGCACTGTTATGGCAGTTTACTATTTTATTAATAGCTGGAGACAGTTTTAAAGTGATCAGTTACAGTTAGGATTGTTTCCGTAGATCATCACTTGGAACACTTTGCTTGAAGCACGTGTCCATTCTTTTAACGGGTGCAATCAAGCTTGGCAATTGATCAGTTTTCAATAGATTTGTGCCCCACTAATTTAAGCAAGTGGGCTAAAGAAATGACGAACTTTTTTGCCAAAAGCAATATCAATAACTTTCACTACATACTTTATTGGTATCTATCAGCCATTCTTCGCAAGTTAGTAACAGCAACCCTTGCAATGTATTCAGCGGTATGCGGTTCTGTTAACTCACTCTCAATGTGGCTGATACTATTGTGTCTTCATAAAAATGATAGATTTCGATTATGTGTGTGTCCGTGACGAAATTTTGATTATGTGTCCTTGATTTCGATGTTACGATGTTTTGTGTAATGCAGTATCGATGGTATAACATCGATTTTTATGTTTTAACATCGATGATCATCAAGCATCCCTACCCATAAATAATTCTGAAGTCTGTGCTGAATATTGCGGTTATATTTATTGATTAATTTATTAAAAGTAATATATGGACTGGACTCGAAACGGTAAATATTTACATGCCAATTATACATTCACAAGCGTTGCATTAATGTATTCATTAAATAGTTTATATGTTATGTTATCCTTAAATACTAACCTCGAATGCTTGTTTGTTTGTGTCCATTCTGTCATGTTTTAGTTATAGGAGAAATAGTTATCTTATATGTTTTGTTATAGTTTTCATGTTCCCTTTTACTGTAATCCTATGTGCTAAAAAATGTATGTTATGGTACAGTTTATGTC